ATCTTTCAAAAGTAGAAATTTTAAACTTTAAAATTTTTTTTTAAACTAAAATTATGTTCATGTTTAACGAAGTTACAGCTGCAAGCGAATTTTTTTTTTCCAAGAAAAGAAAAAGTGTTCGTTTAATTTTTGTGGAGTGTTTATAAGAGAAGACAATAAAATGGTTAATTTAGAAGTTATAAATATATATCTACACATAACTGTACGATAACTGAAGGGAATTTTCTCATAGAACTGTAAAAAAAATAGACAATTTTTACTTTTTTTTATAGAAAAATAAAAAGGTTTTATGTAAAATTTCTTTATACTTATTATTTAAGGGTTGAATACGCAATTTCAAATAAATAAATATGGCGCATAGAAAAACTGGCGTTAGGACTTAGGACCCTTTTTGGAGATCTAGGGGACAATGGGCGACAAAAGAATACCGTAATTAGACTTGGATGTAAGAGATTTATACTGATAAAAAGTAAATTATTATTTTTAATATAAAGTTGATGGTATCCAACAAGAAATCAATAAGTCGGTCTAGGTGATCACAGAGCTACTTATTTAAAATTTTCAAGCACTAGTAACAAGGATCAAATAATTTAGATTAAATTAAATCTCAACAAGATAGATAAATTGAATTAAATAGAATAATAACTAGTTTGTTTATAAACAAAAATTTAGTTCAAGATTAATACGAGATGTACGACAAACGATTATTTTTTTCTTTTTTGTACACTTCTAACAAATTTTTTAAAATTTTATTAAATAAAGGATTTACTTAGGTCACTTTTTTCTTTCCTTTCTTTTTTTTATTACACTCATTTGCGACGTGACTTATCTTGTTTATTTTAATTAGCTATTGATAAACATGGATCTTCAGCTTGAGTCAAAATCCTACGTTTCCAAACAGACAACACATATGTGGGATATCTTGATATCTATTATCTGAATGTGAGTGTAGCATCTGTGTAGAAGATATTTGCGCGAGATATTTGCTCTGCCCGACTCTTAGGCGACTGGTCAAGAGGTCCACTCAAGATGTCTGTAGTATTTTGTTTATGGTACGATCCTAAGGGACCAAATTTCCTTCTCGCCTAGCCTTTATTAAATGACATAATATGAATGTGTGAGTGCATGAGACTAATATTCATCATCAAAGATTTTCTTTGAGAATTCTTGCTGTACCACAATGCCTGAATTTATTGCCGCAGGTCTGGTAAAAAAGGTAAAAAAAAGGTGCGGTAAATATGCATAAAAGGCCAGTACTCACCTATTTTATTGCCACTTAAATGTTGTAGGTCTTTCTGAGTAATTCTACGTAAGAAAAAAGTGGTAGACGGCATTGGTTTAGAAGATGTAGCAAATTAAAGTTTCACAATTTTTATGCTAAAAGAAGTAATTTGCTGATATATAGGCCATCGCCCCTCTCCCGCAGGCAGGGGTGAGTAGGGATGCACCTCGGTTCGCGTGAAAAGTTAAAAACCCGAACTGTACAATGATAGACCTTGTTTTGCTCTATACAGCTTGAGCATTTACATTTTTTAAGAATTTATATTTATAAATATATTGTAAATGGAAAATCTATGCAGGTTCTGATTTGAAGTGTAATGTTTGAAACATGCAAATCTAAATAAGAAACACAGACAGATCCCATTTAATTACCCTAACGTTTTCCCAAACATTTTTTCTGGTTTACATTTTGTACCAAAATTGAACAAAATATATTAAACACTTTGAATATGTGATACCGGAGGTAGGTATCACTTATAAGCTGATCCGCAGCAAAGAATATCATAATCAAGCATCTCACAGGCTCGCTTCTTATACTAGTGTATGATGATTTTTAATTACGAGAAATGCTAGCGCGTGGTAGCCGCGTAGCGGCAACGTGCGTTACTATAGCGCTTGCGATCGCGGAACGCTCTCGTATCTTCTAATTGAGATCTACTCTGATTAACCAAATAAATAAAGTTACGATTTTAATGGGAAATCCAGACAGATTCTATTTGCTCTGCCCAACATTTTCCTGAAGTTCTTTTATAGTTGGGATAAGAATGGGATTCCTAATTGGAATCACAATATGTTACCCTATTTGAGATATATTTGGGTAATCTGATCAGAATCTTAGCTATACTTGGGAATGTTTGGGAAATTTCTATAGGGGAAGCAGGGGTGGGGTGGGATGGGATGGGATAAACCTCACTTCCTGTGGAAAGTTGCAAACTCATGTGGAATTGTACAACAATAAAAAACAACAACTTATGCTTTTGCCATTGTTAAAGCAGAGAATACTTTGTATTCATATATTTTTTTAAATATAAAATTATATATATACTTTTCAATATCCTAACTATTCTCTGCTTTAACAAATTATTTCTGTTATAGATATTAAGTATTTGTACACAATGCAACTTTTCATACAAAGCGACGAAAGAAGAAAAAATAGGTGTGTTTTTAACTTTTCATGCAAACCAAGGTCCACCCCCACCTACCCCTACTTGCGGGGGAAAGGCGGTAGCTCTCCCCTGCCTACACGTGTACTATCTATACGTACATATCAGCAAATTACTTCTCTTAGAACTAATGTTTATAATACCTAAAAAAAAAATTATAAAATTGTGAAACTTTAATTTGCTATTTCTTGTAAACCAATGCCGTCCCCTACTTATTTCTTGCGTACAATTACTCAGAAAGACCTCTCCTACAACATATTTAAGTAGCGATAAAATCGGTGAGTACTGACCTTTTGCATATTTACTGTAAATTTTTACACAAGTGTATATTTTTAAATGATAAACAGTACACACATCCATATCTAGTCCTACACTTCCTACATCCATTTATTTAAATTTAAATGATGTATGGTGCCTCTGTTTATATGTGATTACCACTTCATAGACTATCTTGCTGAATTTATGTTTAAAAGATTATAATTATGATGAATGCATTGATATTTTTTAATATAGTGAATTTAACATATTCTTTAGATCAATTAAATATTGAATAACATTTTATTATTCCATATATTTATTGATTTTTTGTTATATTATAATTTCACATAGATTTCCAACTTTCCATGCGAAGCATGGAATTTACCTCATGGGATGAGGGTGGGATGAGGTGAACTTCGTTTCGCGTGATAAGTTGAAAACCCATGTAAGACCGTACAATCATAGACCTTTTGCACTATAAGCACCTGGTGGTGTGGAATGGACCTTGCTTTTTCGTGGAAATTGTAAACCCATGTAAAAATTATATTCTGTTAATGAAACTTTTTGTTAATAACTTTTTAATAAAGAACAGATAATTAAAATCTTAAAATCTTAAAATCTTCTGAAGGTTACTCAGGAAAGTGCCTTCTATAATATATGCCAAGGTCAAGGTCATAGGAACTTGGTCTTTTATGTAACACGTGCATGGAAAGTAGCCCATTACGCACGCTACGCGTGCGTGATAGACCACTTTCCACGCACTTGCAACATAAAATAGGGTGTGCAAGCCGTGCTGTAAGATGAAAATTCACGGGTGCGGAGTTGACGCACGAGCCTTAAGGCCAGCTCAGCGAGGACAGAAACCTCGCGTAGAGCAAAAGGGCAAAAGCTGGCTTGATCTCGATGTTCAGTACCCATAGAGACTGCGAAAGCACGGTCTATCAATTCTTTTGGCTTAAAGAGTTTTCAACAAGAGGTGTCAGAAAAGTTACCACAGGGATAACTGGCTTGTGGCGGCCAAGCGTTCATAACGACGTCACTTTTTGATCCTTCGATGTCGGCTCTTCCTATCATTGCGAAGCAGAATTCGCCAAGCGTCGGATTGTTCACCCGCCAACAGGGAACGAGCCTTAAGGCTCGTGCGTCAACTCCGCACCCGTGAATTTTCATCTTACAGCACTTGTTACACAAATAACTATTATTCGATATATTTACCATAACTGTTTTGGTTTATGAGATTGACACGACAGTTCTGAATTTGCTTAGATCAGACTCAATGGAATACTTCTCGAGGAAAGTGAGTCCGTTAGTTGCGCCTTAGTTTTTTTCGTAAAGCATAAGAACAATATTTATAAAGAATCACGCAAGAAAGTATACGATGACAGATATAGTATTACAAGTTATACTGCTATCCCAAAAACTCATTCATTTATTCAATGAAGAATTGCATTAATGACATTTTAAGTACATTTTGAAATAAAACTCATGAAAAGAATTAGGAAGTTAAAAATGTAATATAATATAGATGTAAAACAAACATTATGACGTATATTAAGAAACAACTTCCTCAAATATTATTTTTTTTATACCTGTTATATTAAAGTAAAAATATTTTGCGCACGTTATCTATTTAAAGTAAACTACACATAAAATAAATAACACATAATTTAATAGTAATTAATAATACATTACTATTGTGTGAATTTATCATAAAGTTTTCTTTAAAGTAAGTATTAAAAGAATATATGGCTCTGTTCTTGAGAAGCCGATTTTTAGAACACATTGTAACATTGAGGAAAGTGATATTTTCCTCTTTAAATTGAGTAATTTTAATTGTCTCTTTTTTTGTATGTTTAAGAGTAATGAAGATATTTCGACATTTTGTTTTACGCACCCTTGTACAATAATTAATTTACTTTGAGGTCGACTTATTGTATCCATAAATTCTTATCTAATGTTTAATCACTCACAACACAACTAATGTCGATTTTTCTCTGACCCTTTCCTTCTTTCGTGTTTTACCGTTATTAATTTCTATATTTTTTGTTATTTATAATTTGACATTAAATTCTTAACTACACGACAAATGGAATTTCATTTAATGACGACAAATGCAAACTCCAAACATTTTTGTCAATTGTGAAATGCCATGTGTATATGTTGTGCGTCTTGCTTTATGTGATACACTTTTGCATGTGCTTGATTTATTGAAACCACCACCTACTATCAAAATTACTATCAATTTTCACTAATTTTCCTGCATGCTATCTTCATCAAATTTTTATGCGCTGCATAAAGTGGTTATGCTCAAGCTTGCAATCTCTCTCATCCACGGTATCTAGCATAGAATCCCTTGGCGCTCCGTCAACTTTGAAACTTCCTCTGTGGGATAAGGCATCGGCAGAGTTTTGTTTCGCAAAATCGCGAGAACTATTGACAAAACCGAGTGCCTGGGCTTCATACATGGATATTGACTTGAATACACATACATTAGAAAATGCGACAACAAAACAGAATTTAGTCAAGTCAACTGAATTCTTGGAGAATGGAAATAGAAAAGATCACCTAAATTGCGAGGGCCTCACTGATGCGAATACCAAATTAAACGTCCGACATCAGAACGGTAAGAAATTTAATATAGAAAATTCAAATTACGATTTCCCATGCGATATAAAGAGAGTATCTACAAGTTACGTTGAACGTTATTTTGAACAACCGAAATACTGTGACGATGAAACTACTCCAGGATGCACCAGCAAAAAGATATATTTTAGAGAAGAAAAATTGGACAAATATGATAAAATTAATAATTTAGAACAGCCTAATAAATCGACTTATTATTCGAACATTCAAGAACAAAGCTCGTCAGCCGGTGTTAGGTCTAAACAGGTATTGCAAAATAAATTAAGCAATTGTGAACTGAAGGATTGTAATATCATGCATTTCGAATCGCAGCCTGATGAAAATTTTGATATTTTGAAAGGGAAAGCAACGAACTTTGAATCTCCTTGCAATAAGCCGGACAAGTTTGACGTAGCGAGGGATAAGACGACGAACTTGGATCTTGGTACGCGACCGAAAATTCCCGTTACCTTTGCTGAATCTACAAAAATGAACATCACAAATTTTACCAAGAAAATTGACCTGTCAAAATCTAGAGCCGCAAACGTATCCTTTGTGTCAAGGAAATCCAGTCAAAACATGAACACCGTCTACGACTCATCAGATAGTATTAAGACTAACATGAAGACTGGTGGATCAGAGTCCAGTCCAAGAAGTAATATAGAGACGGTAAAAATAAACATACAAAGCTTTCGTAAAGTCGAACAAAACCAGAACAGTCACGAGGGCTTTCCGTTTGTAATATCCAGCAATCCTATATTTATTGCTGAATCAGAAAAAAAGGAATCTCCTATATATAGCAGCTCCGAGAGTTTGCGAGTAAATTTCCAACGTCTCAGACGAAAATCTGATGTCGAAGCTAGTCAGGTAGAACTTAATAGTAAACTCTTAGCTGAAAAATATCAACGTGAAATTTCTGGCTTAGAGAGCGTAAAAAATTACTTGGACTCCAAGAAAGCTCAAAATTTAAACTTGGGCTTGGGCAAGTTGACACAGAACATGATACAATTAGGCAAGAATATCGCACAAAATTCGAGAAATTTAGAAACAGCGTTACCAAAGTCGCTGGTCTCCAATATGAGAAATCTGGATTTATCAGCGTCATCCCAAACATCTTTGCGAAGCTTAAACATACCGATTCAAAAGCCCAAGCATTTGGACTTGAACATTCCATTACAAAATCAATCGCCGATTAATACGAAACTGAACTTGATTAAAAAATCAAACCCTTCAACGAGTCCAACTCTACATCAACACATTTTAGAGCCGCCAAAATTATATCAGAACGATCCTATCAGAAAGGAGCTACCAAAATTGGATATGCTTGCGAAGAAGTTTTCTGGCGCCGCCATTTATCGACATAGGACATCATCCTTGTCGGAGAGTAGGAAACCTCCAATAAAGAATATACGCAGATCTTTTCATCCCAAAAACGATTCTAGTGAGGACTCGGATTCGATTTCACACTCAGAGACGGACATCAGGAGTCGTCTGCGTTACAAACGCAGACACAAGAAAATTCAGCATAATCTACGTTTGAATTTCAAAAATAAGACTTCATTTCTGCATCCTGATTCCGCTAAGGGATTGTCCGCAGTTGAACTCTGCGGAAAGTCACCGCCCCCATCGACGAGTTTCTTGAACTCACTATCGCCACCATTCTCTTCCAGAAACAATCTGCTTTCTTGGCCGGAAAGTGCACCGAGTTCTAGCCTGACATTTACTAGCAATTCCGATCTTGATTCAGACACGAGTTCCGAGTATCCGGAATTCACGAACGACGTACTGACATTTCCTCCTTCCCCTGCTCCTTAAAATTCTAAAGAATTTAGTTTCAACCTTGATCAATTTAGATGTGGCTTTTCTATATGTCAAGTCTAAACAATCTTGCAAAGTGATTGGCGAAATTATTTACGAATGCATGCTATTTATATTAATTCTTTATAAATTTAATATACTTAGATTGGTGATTGAATAATTAGATTGATTTTGCTTTAAAAAAAAGTCAAAGTTGCAGTAATTACGATAAAAATGTTTTTATTTTATTTAAATTATGCTCTTTAGCATCGATATAGCGAGTGACGCTGTCAGCAATTCGGGCGAGAATAATTTGCAATTTACAGTCAACTTCTGTCATTCTAAGATCATGAATATTTTTTTTATTCCAAAATGTTGCTTTTTTGTCCTCACTCTTATTCTAATGCTCAAGATGAAAATGTTATATGCGCATTTTATAATTTATGTTTTCATTCTAACATAATTAACTCGTCATATTTAATTACAAACCATAATGAGAAAGCAGTGCAAGAGGAGAATTATAGTTTAATGGAAAATAAACTATGATAACAGAAAAAATAGAAAAAGGATCTTAGAATAAAGTATTCCTGTATATATTTCTGACTATTCCAGTATAGTTTGCAGCAAAATTTTCGCGACTTAAGTCTCTAATATCTTTTAAAAGCAATCTCAGTTTTAGGTATAAAACATTAAATGAAGGAAGGAAATGAACTAAATAATGAGGATATGATGAGTGATATGATGAGCAAGTTGTTTTTAAATGAAAAATTAGAAGTGCTGTTAGAAGGAAAACTTTGGAAACATTAGAAACTATGGCAAATTTTTCCAAGCAATAAAATAGGATTTCTATTAATCATTTCAGTTATTGACTCTCCTTATCGGTGCCACTCGTTTATATTGGCGTTAAAAAGAAAAAAATTATAATAAATTATTTTATTTGCATCGCATATGTACATATACATGTATATATGCGCAGGTACAGGGAGCTTTCCAGCAAGCGACAAAAGTCGGCACAAGTATCATATTATCTTTGTTACTCATTGCTAAAAAAGAAACATAGAACGATGTTTGTATTGACTTGTGTTGCTTGCTGGAAAGCTTCCATAATCATTGTTTTTCAAAAAATAAAATCAATTTCACACTTATCGTTTAAGGCTCCTGGGTAGTCACCGCGGCCATATTGGATTCTTACTATCGAGGCGAGGAAAACACCCAATTTTGTTATGCATGCCATTTTCAAATAAAAAGACATTTCAATAAAACATCACTATAGATCGTTTCAGAACACTTCCAAAATTGGCCGAAAACTACCCTTTTCCCTCGACAATAAACAAACAGCCATAAAACGAAGCCTAAACATACGGGAAAAACAGCCGTTTAACGACTATCGAAAGGAGGTGAAAACGTTCCTTCCGCATGCAAATCTTACTTTTCGGCCAATTTTACGACTTTCACGAATACGTTAAACGTTAGAGCACAAGCACAGAGCAAATAATAAAGAAATAGCACGCACAACAAAATAGGTTGTCAACATGTCACAAGACAGAATTCTCCATTGGAGAGAGTGAGAGGAGAGAGTGGCGTCGCCACCGTCAACGCAGAGTTCTCGGCTCAGGGACCAGGAGCCTTAAATTGCGTAAAAACGTTGAATCATTTACTGTTATGTATATAATACAAAATTCTCGAACAAAATATTTGAGAAAATTATTAATAATTTTAACTTTATTTTTTGTATTATTTTATTTTACTAGAGAAAAGTGAAGAAATGACATATATACGATACAAAAACGTAAAATCAAAATAGATAATTAGTTTATTATATTAAATAAATCACTTTATTATATTATTTCTCTAGTCGACTATAAATAAATCATTTTATTATAAGGAATTAATATAAATATATGTTAAATTACTAAATATCACATCTGGATTATTTAAGAAGTTGCAAAACTGCTGCTACAAATTTTAATTCTAAATATTAAAACAGTAATTTTTTTGAGAGGCTGTAATTGAATAACCATATTCCAAAACGTATGGTTTTATATACCTGTACACTATATTTAGTCTGATTACATAATGTATTACATATATAATTAATCATAATATTTTTGTTATATATTTTTTGTTATATATTCTAAGATATATTATTGTAAATATTTTGTTTTAATGATTAAGTATTTATTAGACTCAAATTCCATTTTTTCTCACAATTTATTATAAACAGTTTTATATATGGAATCATAACTAAAGAAAAATATTTAAATTTTAACAAATTAATTAAGCGAATGGTATATATGATATGCAAAATTATATAATTATACATATATTGGGTGTTCTAGGTCAGGTCAATGAAACTTCAGAGTCTTATAGGAAATTGAATTTGAAACAAAGAAGTTTATAGGAAAGTTTATAGGAACTTTTTTGTCCTAAATTCAATTTCTTATAAGACCCTTTATTGATCTGATTTTTAATACCCTGTACAGAAGATAATTGAAAAAGATGTGCGAAGTAATAATTTATATATGCTTAGCATGCTTGCATGTTGTACTAATCATCAAACTAGATAATATTAATATTTAATGGAACAGTTTGGATGTATTTACATGTTTTTAGCAATTGTATATGTATTTGAAGAATTGATATAAAGTTCATGACATACAGGATGTTTTAAAAAAAGTATCCCATATTTTGAGAACAGGTAGTACTCATCAAAATAAGAAGAAAATGTCCAGTGAACAGTGGGTCCTAAATCAAATACTTGTTGAGATATGGACCAATTTTTATTGTACACTATAAGAAGTTTCTATGTGGTTTCTATTCATTTTCATACTTTTTAAATAAAAAAATACAAATGTTTATACAATACAACGTTTATATGTTGTTGATACCTGATAATGACTAACAATTAAACCTTACTGCACTGTAGAAATAACAACTAATATAAGAAGAGGACAATGTTTATTATTTAAAAACCTTGGTGTATTTAACATCCATCGACGACATAGAGACATTGTAGGAATGTGTATTTTTTTATTTAAAATGCATGACAATGAATGGAAACAACATTGAATACCTCCTATAGTATACAATAAGATTAGTCCATATCTCAAGATTTGATTTAGGACCCATATTCACTGAATATTTTTTCTTCTTATTTTGATGAATACTTTCTGCTTTCAAAATATGGGACTTTTTTTTAAACACCCTGTATATGTATCAGTAAGTTTATTGCTACCAGGTTTTATATAAGCGTGATTTATATAATATATGTTTGCATCTACATATTTTTCAATAATTGGAGTATTTTAATAAAAATATCAGAAGTTCTCAAACTGGACCCACACAGCACAGGATATTTTGAGGGACATTTGTGCATCCGCTGGATATCCACCGGTTATTGAGATATCCCACTTTATCTGTAGGACGTCCCTCAGATAAAGTGTGCTGTGTGGGGAATACGCAATCAATGGATACGTTAACTTTTTTTATTAAGCATTATTCAGATCTTTCAGTAAAGAGAAAACCTAAAGATAAGAAAATAATTAATCGATAATCTAAAAATAATAATCTGATGATGAGAATGAGGTAAAACTGAAGATTAAGGGCGACCTCACCGATTTCAATGACCTTGATGTATGTTGTCAAGGTCATGACCCCGAGTGACCTTCAGTAGGTTTTAGCCGTCGCTCGCTATTCGTTAAAAAGTTATTAACAAAAAAAGTTTGGAAAATATAGCAGATATTTTGAGTATTGGAAGGCATAAATGACTAATATATATGTCGAAATAGTTCACTCATACACTTTCCACGCAAAACGAGGTGCCACATAGGTTCGTGACGCGCTTTACAAGCTCGAAATATATAAACCTACTTAGTTTATTGTAATTCTTTATCACCCCTTTGCGGTCACATGGGTTCGTGGCGCGCTTTAAAAGTATTTAAGTGTTTAAAGCGCGTCAACTAACCTATATGTAGGTTAGTGACGCGATTTAAAAGTATTTAAGTGTTTAAAGCGCGTCACTAACCTATGTGTTTAAAGCGCGTCAACTAACCTACATAAGTTAGTTGACGCGCTTTAAACACTTAAATACTTTTAAAGCGCGTCCTTCCGAAGGTCAGTCAGGAGGGTGACCCTGACAACATATGTCAAAGTCAAGGTCATCGGAGGGTGGTCCCTATTACTGCATAATTACCGTTTTTTATGCCTTCCAATACTCAAAATAGCTGCTATATTTTCCAAACTTTTTTGTTAATAACTTTTTAACGAATAGCGAGCGACGGCTAAAACCTTCTAAAGGTCACTCGGGGTCATGACCTTGACAACATATATCAAGGTCGTTGAAATCGGTGAGGTCGCCTTTAATCTTCAGTTTTATTTAATTTTCTTTACATAATATTGTAGGAAATATTAAAACAAATTTAATGATTACCAACACATCATTTTTTATAGAAAATAGAAAGAAAGATAGATACACAACTTATTTGTGAACCTAGTACCATTAAAAAAAGAAGTTCGGATATATGGCATAATTAAATACTAATTTATTGCTTTAGTCTCGAATTTATTGTTCCTATATCCATTTACAAGAATGGAAATTAATATAAAAAATGAGGGTGCTGACTTTACACTCCCTTACTTTACTACTCCCAAAAAACACTTATAGAATAGCGTAAGCAAAAAACTAATATACCAGAAGTTTTTGCTAATTTTCTTGCTCTAAAATGCTGTAAAGAGATGTCGAAAATATTGAATGATTATGGATGTACCGATAAGATTATTGTAACGGCGTAAAAGCAAAAAACAAGCAAAAATAAATAGTTAACCATATCCTGACAGCACCGTACGCAGCAAGCACGTTGCTATGATGTGCTAACTCGATCGTCGCACGTAACGTTACAGCGTCTCAACTGGAGTTTGAAACGTGATTAACACGTCGTTGTCACGTAACTAACAGCCAAATTCCTGGTGACAGAGACGTTGCAGTAACGTATATTTGTAACTTTATGCGACGTGTTGAGCACCTATTGGCGATCTTAAAATGGTTGACTGGTTGTGAAAAATCAAGATTGATTTTTACTATATTATGTATATAAAATACTTGACAGACAAGTATTATTGTACCTGGTTGAAGCAAAAATTAAAACAAACAAGCATACGTCAAAAATCAAAATAACGTCAAACTTTGATCATAGATGACTAAAAATAACGATGACGACATTTCAAGACATTAAAAAGACGTGATTTTACGATCTTTTTGGTCTTCTAATGACATTTTAATAATGTAGAAGATTGTAAAAATCAAAATTATATACAAAATTATAATTAAAAAATGTATTATTTAAAAAAAGTATTATTTTGTCATTTTGACGTCTTTGGACCAGAATTGTATTTAACATACAGTAAGAACCAATTTTCTATAAATATAATTACAATTTTTTGAAAAACTAAAACTGGTTTTTTTATATTACTTAGATAAAATACATGACAGATTAAAATGCATTATTATACTTGATTGTAGCAAAAATTAAAACAACCTAGGTAGCATACCTACACCTACGTCAAAATGACGTAAAAAATTGGTGATTACTGGTCCAAAGACGTCAAAATGACAAAATAACACTTTCTTTAAATAATACATTTCTTAATTATAATTTTGTATATAATTTTGTGATTTTTACAATCCTCTACATTATTAAAATGTCATTAAAATGTCATTAAAAAAGGTCATAAAATCACATCTTTTCGTGTCTTGAAATATCGTCATCGTTATTTTTAGTCGTCTATGACCAAATTTTGATGTCATTTTGACATATGCTTGTTTGTTTTAATTTTTGCTTCAACCAAGTACAACAATACTTGTCTGTCAAGTATTTTATATACATAATATAGTAAAAATCAATCTTGATTTTTCACAACCAGTCAACCATTTTAAGATCGCCAATAGGTGCTCAACACGTCGCATAAAGTTACAAATATACGTTACTGCAACGTCTTCGTCACCAGGAATTTGGCTGTTAGTTACGTGACAACGACGTGTTAATCACGTTTTGAATTCCAGTTAAGACGCTGTAACGTTACGTCGCTTTGTTCAACTAATATAGAGTAAAAACGACAAAGGTGCAAAAATTAAAATGTCAAAATTGCCGGGACGGAGTT